AGTTTATTGGTGACTGTGAGTCCGAAAGTATCACCGCTTTGGTGAATTTCGTATCCAAGCAACATAATTGACATAGTGCTATCCTAATGGCCTCCGTTTCTCCTTCGAAAGCGGATCTATTGTGTCCCGCTGCTGAGTAGAAAGTGAAGAGTTCAGAATAGACACCTGCACCAACGTTTGCTTGGTTTTCTATGTATAATGCATCAGTAAAGACTTGAAACCATTGGTCTCCAGGATAAATGACATTGATTGTCTCAAGGGCCAGTGAGCGCATTTGCTCTGGAGGGGTGTTTGATTTCCTGAAGAAGTCAACCCTATCAAATTTAGTTTAAGGATAGTGATTTTCAATGACTTCTTGGTTTTCTTCGTGAACATCTCTGACATGAAACGTTTTTCTCTTGCCTTATCGCTATTTTCGCTTGTGATAGCAGATAATATCTTAATCACCGTGGTTAGACACCCCTTGTGTGTACTTAGTGAGTGAACTTTTCTCATTCATACGTTTTGTATCCATGACATGAAGGAATTGGCAGAATCCAAATTTCTTGTGATGGCTTGAAGACTATTAAATTACCCTAACTTAGTAATTACTTTTTCGCGGGAAAACGCTTTCCACTAAGCCTACATTTATAGGGAATGTCTTTTTTTTCAACTTTTTGAAGGCATTCAGTATCTCAAGAAGCAACCTCCGGGTGGATTTGTCGTGCGCACCAGCTCCCGATACCCCGGTTTCTATGGTTTGAGCATCAAAACCAAGGACCAAGATAACAGCGACAATTACAACGGTAAGTTATTTGTCACTTTCGGGTCAATGAATGTCAACAAAGCGGAAGGAAAATGTCTCTCTCTCTCTTTGATTTGCTTTCTATACTTTAGATTTTTATTTCAAAAGAACCTCACGCTTCAACACATTTGTGAAACCGCTAAAACGTTTCCAATCGAATTTTGGAAAGTTTTGTTATCACATCATCAAATACTTTACTTATCACTTTTTTATATTTATAAGTTATCCATCAGTCAGCATGAAATACCGTCGCCCATTAACTTTGTTTAAATAACGAAAATATTAAAACAACAAGAGATTAGATAAAACGATCAAATAATATTCCAATAAATCTAACAAAAATGAAGATGAACGTATTTCAACGAATAATGTTTTATTTATTTATATTTTTGAGCGAGTTTCTTCTGTTAGCCTTAAATACATTTCAAATAATTTAAGTTTAAATTGCCAAATATTTTTAAAGTTGAAATTAGAAATAGTATTTTTTATTATTTATTCTCACTGTTGTCCGTTTAATTATCACTTATCCTTAACTTGGTTCCAAAACGCTTGATTTCCCTAATTTACCTCTTCTTAAGAGTTATGAAGAGGGATAAACTTCTGTTGAATACTTCTTTCTTCTTGGAATATCCATTTCTTGTTTTTATACCAATTTCGCGCTTTTTTAAAGGTGACTTCTATTTGAAGGCTACGATTTTTATCTTTGGTCCCAAATTAAAATAAAAGAACTATAAGCCAAATAATACCATTTTTTTAAAGGCAAAGGTAATTGGTTCTATCCATTGAAATTAGTTTGCTTAACGTCTGTCAGTATTCTGACAGACAAATCAATATACCCCTCAGAATTGAAAGTTTTGATGAACGGTGCAAGCTTGTGTCAAGGTAAAATTTTAAGTGGAAATGGAAACTTCTAATTAAAAGTCCCTGTAAATAATTCAATTTTCCCTGGATTTAAAAATACTGTTTTAGCGAAATCTTTGGTGACACTTTAAACGGCATTCGTAACTTAACTTGAACTTTTAAGTTAAACTCCTTAAGGTAATAATTTTGAACACTTATTGAAAAAACAAATTTTGACTATTTTATTGCCGACTATCTGCGGAGTGTACAGAACTACCAAGACTGACCAAAGGGACCTCTTACTGAAAAGTGCAAATATGCTATAGAACGCGTGTTTAAAAAATACGGAGATGTGTAAGGGGGCTCCTAGCCAATCAGAGTTCAATATTCGTGCAGCGTAGCGTTAATTATATTCACAGGTATGATTGCTGAGGAACGGTCAAGGACTTGTTTGTTTTAGTATAAGATGATTGCCTAACGTCATTCTATGCTACTTATTTTCCTTTGGTTCATTTAACTTCTACTTTTTACTCATTTTATGCGAAGGACCCTTAAGTTTGTTAAGTAACACAGATATTTGTTTTCGCTTCAGTATCCGTTCAAATGACTCGAGTAACTGCACAATTTGGGTTAATTTATTGAAGCCCTCATAATTGGCACCAACTCTTTGTCAGGTAGATACAAAAAAATTTGCTAACTTAATCACATTTAGATGAACGTTTTAATTTGAATAGCAGTAATTGGTGTGTTATCTGATATCACTGACAAAGTGGAAAAGAGTGGCATATGGATAAGTATGATAGTATAATTCTTGCCGGCTGTCAAGGTACCAATAAAAGTAGCTTCTAAAATCGCGATACATGATTGATGGCTTCAATGTAGTCTTCTTCTCCTATCAGTCTTTCTGTCGGTCAACCATAAGCGGCTTAAACTAAATAATGAGTCATCATAAAGGTAATGAAGCGTTTTAGTAATGGTAGACCAAACATGCATCTTAATTCAATTGCGTTAGTTTGAGTTATATTGAAAACATTTACATTATTCTGTTCGTTATTCAATTTGTCCACATCCACTCTTAAGCTCCGTCCGTCTGGCTTTCAATTCTCGTCTAGATTTCGACACAATTTCAAGCCCATACTCCTTTGCTTGGTTTCAATATTTGAGCTTCAAGGAGGTTTCATGAGTTTTTTGCCTTTATTCCAGAGTCTACCTTCTTGTAGAGCATGAACTTAAGTGTCTCTCGAGACTGAAATAAAACTCGTTGAAATATTTAAAGCCCAGAATAACCATATACTTATATTCTATTAAGTAATATCACTCAGCACCATTTAATGAGGTGTTCATTCTTGCATGTAGAAAAGGGCATTATTGAACCTCAAGAGTAGGCAACTTGAGTTCTACTACCTTACTTATTGGTCAGACTTAACTGGTGTGTGTGTTTGGTAATTCCTCTCAATGAGCGCGTATTGATGGAAATCGAACACATGGCCTTTGGCTACGTGGGCGAGTGTCTTAACAGCCCCCTTCACTGATGATAATTGCGCTAAATGAGAATGTGTATTCAGAAAGCAGTAAAAGTACCCACTGGAATAACATTGATGAAGGAATCTTCCGAAGCCGCTTTGAACATAAATTAGTAAAAGAGGAAAAGTCTACTGCTTGATGTCATAAGTTGAGCTAATTTTATCTCTGAAAAACTCCTTATTTCAATATTGCCTACACAAATCAGAATTGATTAATGTTACCACTTCAGTTAACAGGCTTACTTGATTGAATTGCCCAATGCAGTCAGTCGACCACTGAATAGCGTGCACTAAAGGTTCTGCCAATGAGATTATTAAACAGTATGCTAATTTACCCCGAGAAATGTTTTCATTTTTATATTTACTCTTGATTACACTTCTAACTCAGCTATTCGACCCCTTAAGACAAATTTGGGGAAAAATGAAAGTGTCGTTGATAACTCCACAATTTAATAGATCCAAAAGTAATTTAATGGACATGAAAATAAGGCTATTCTATACCACGCTCAGCAACCCAGTGTTTTTCTCCATAGAGTCCAATGCACGCTCAATAGTATTTCATCAGGTTAAGATCGTGGAGAGGGAAAGTTCAGAGGCCGAACATTGAAACTCCGAAGTCAAAAAAGGGCATGACAACCATTTTTCACTCTCCCTTGAGGCCTACCGAACCCTGCTTCTACCATTCACATATTCCACTGTTAACTGCCCTCGTTCGTTAATCAGGGCTTAACAAATACTAAGATCGGCAATTTCGTAATAGACATCTTTTTTCAATCTCCCGTCCTCTTTTAAAAACTCTGGATGAAGGTATAACACCATCCTTGTAGGGGGTGGTAGGACATATTCAAAATCAGGACTCGAAGAGTGGCCTTGGCACTATGTCCAAACCAGGCCATCTCTAATTCGGCATGTTTCACTTTTCATTTTGCCATAAGTTTTCTTAATACTTAAAAAGAACCACGTTGTTTGCACTTCTGGAGGTAGAACCACTTTGTTCTGAAGTTCCTTCCAACTTATCAAATGAATTTCCTGAGTCAATTCGGTGAAAATTTCACCTTTGCCAAAAGCTTCTAAGACATCTTAGCAGAGGTCTTCATTGATCGAGAATGAAAAATATAAGTAGATATGGCGTCGATGTCAAAATTCCCAGTTCTTGGCGGATCCTAATACATTGTTGAAGTAGTTAGAGCACCATTCACAATCTCCTTATTTTAATGGCAAGTACGATCATCATGACACAAGTTGTTCTCTTCCACGGCTCTAGTGAGTTCTACTCATCATCCATTCTAGTTGTCATTAAGCAGATAAACGAAGAAGGATTGAACTTTTTGAAAAAAAAATAGTGTGAGTGAATACCATTAACCCTTCTGGTATCTTCTTTTGCTAAATTTATTTTCATTGGGGAAATAGTTTGTAAAATTTAAATTTACTGAATGTGCTTCATAGATGCTTAGGTTGCCACTCTCATTTTTAATGCTAACGTTTTGATTATTATTTAATGAAATTAGATGTAAGGGTAAAAACTCTTTTTAATTCTATTTCTTTCGCTGTGTCTGGTCTAGTGACTTTCAGTTTACTTTTTATTCTTCCCTTTTCAAGTAACATTGGTATTCTTTCGACCATTTTTAACCGACAGGTGGGAATTGGATTTAAGAAAAAACGGCGTGTGCTTACAATTTGACTCCAATTGAAGAATATGCTTTGTCATGCTATTTATTAGAGTACACCAAAAATGGGCAAGCATTATACTGCTCACGTTCGAGTATCTTGAAGGGAATTTGAGATGAGAAGATAATAATTTTCATATATGGTGCTTAAGTTGATTCAAAATTTGTCCTTCACTCGGATTTGGTTCCTTTATCCGTTGGGATTGTATTTGCTCTTGCTAATTAATAACTCAAACAATCTTGAAACCTGAAGCCTTTCCAATGCCTTAGCCATTCCTCAAAAATCTCCACCATCCTACAACGTATGTACTAAACCACCTGATAGGAAATTGGTTCGCAGTTTACTTTATGAAGAGTTTCATTAAGAAATTAGACTATAATTAATCCAAATCCATTGTTAAATTGTATTTGCCCGACACACTAATATTGCATCATAAATGGAATTTGTATTTTCAAAGGTTTTGTCGTTTCGATGTTGCGAATGCATGATATGTTAACCTAACTGCATGAATGAATAATCAACCACGAGCTTTCACCAATTCACACACATTTCTATTTATTTTTTGTCACCCATAGGAACGGCAAATGAGCAGTCTATTAAACACTTCCTGATAGGAGACAGTGGAGATGGGCAAATCCAAATTCAAGGAGCTGAGATGGAACCGAAATTTAAGAACTTGTCGAATTTAATAGCTTACCACTGTCAGTATTCAAGAGCCTTGCCTTGTGTCTTGCGTCTTCCAGGCTATTCCGCCTCCTCTACTCTCAGCTTGGCTCCTATGGATGTCCAGATTCCGCCACTTCGATACAACGATAGTGAAGCTGTAGGTAAGTGGACATCTATCAGATCAATATTTCCAGATCTGATCTCAAAACACACTATTTTATTTTTAATTTCTTCTAAGGACCTGGAATATTTCTGCGTCCTATATGATTGGAAATCAAACCATCTGGTAGATAGTCCAATCACTTGTTATTCAATAAATATAATTAACATAATTAGACTACTTAAATATGTTTATTTCAAATGGCAGGCGTTTTGATAGTTATCATTAGCCCTGGAGCTGACTTTGGGCTTCACAGGGAGGAGGAGGAACATCAAAGTGACAAAAAGTCGAGAGGGGGGGGGGACAGAATAATGATTCACAAATGTAAAAGAGACAGACAGGCACAAATGTTGAGTAAAAGGTAAGGCGAGATCTGCTGAAATGGTGGAATATGACATACAGTGGGGTGATGGTAGTTAGAAGTCAACTGCCGGTTAATAGACTTTTTTGCCGTATGAGTATACATTGCCCCGGGTGAACCACGTGGAGGTAAGTCTATCACACACACCCCACCCAGTACTAATTTGGTGCCAAAAATGGGACATTGGAAATCGCACAATTTTATAAGACTTAAGACCTGAACCAATCCCTTACTTCATAGTTATAAAGAGAACTGTGGGTATAAATCAATATTCCCAGGTATCGCAAATGAAATCATCGCATTGGCATTTGAATAATTCGTTTTGGACTTAACTCAATTTTTCGGCCAATCCCTTAAGTAAGAGGTTGCGCACTTTACCACTAGTAGTTTTTGAAGAGTAAAACACGTCAACCAGGACAAGAGGGACCCGAATATTTTGGCTCTTTAGTCAATTTCTCTCATTCAAATGAATTAGGTATTCTAATTTTCAGAAAAGATTGCAATGTGCTCTTCAGTCAAGGAGCCAATTTTCACGCCTGTATTTTTTATTTACGCAAGCAAACACTACACGTGAGAGCCAAACAGGAAGAAAGTGAATACTTTTCCAATAACCATGTCAGCATCAAAATATTTTATTGTAAACAGACCACACCAAGTTGTCCTGTAACTCAGACCTCTATTGCTTGAGGCTCAGACTTCTGTCAAATCATTCCGGTTTGATGCTTTGTCAGCCATTATTCAATTAAACAGAGGTCAAGTTGTGAGTGCGTTAGCCAAATGGGTGCAGATTCTAAGAGGTCTATTATGGCTGTTTGTTGTAACCGAGACTAAAATATTATGTTCACATAGTCTATTAACCGGCAGTTGACTTCCCACTTCAAACTACCATCATCCCACTGTATGTCATATTCGACCACTTTCACAGTTCTCATCTTACCTTTTCCCTGCCTTCGTGTCTGTCTGTTTCTTATACATCTGTGAATAATTATTCTGTCTCCCATCTCGACTTTTTTTCTCACTTTGATGTTCCTCCTCCTCTATGTGAAGCCCTAAGTCAGCTAAATATCCAATGATAGCTATCAAAACACGCCTGCCATTTGAAATGAATGAATGAATGTTCACATAGGCATGACAGTTGCCTCCTTATATCTCTTGGTCCTTAATTTTATATTCAATATATCCCATGCATTTCATGCCATTTCCTATTACGTGCCTCATGAAATGCTCATTTAGTAAAGACTTACTGGGAGCCCGTTTCTTGAAAAAGTCAAAATTAACGGCTTGATGTCGCAGAATCCATTTATCTTGATTTCATGCGGGCCCGCTGGTCTTCATATCTTGTTCGTTGGTCTAGAACAAAGAATAGGCGTGGTGGTGGTGGTTTGGCCTTCAAACGTCAACGTTAAGAAGTGACTTGTATAGTCGAGAGCTGTTCTAGTTAAAGCAGCTTTTCTCTCAAGCAAGGCGCTTCAACGTTCTCTCTACAAATAATACGGAATCGAAGTCAGTTTCAGCTCTAGCCACATTAGAAGTGGTGTCCTGACCTTGTGGAAACCATAAAGCCTCAAATCTTAAAAGATTCCATGATCCAACTCTCCACACAGCTGGTATTACAAAATTGTCAACTTTGCGATGGAGTATGTGCTTTAATCAATGCGATTTATACGGCCGGTTCTAAAAAAGCAAATATTAGGATTGGTCATTCTTTAAAAATAAAACGCTTTAAAAATAACAAAACTAAAATAAATATTATTTGCCAAACAATAAAAATTTAACCACGAGTGGCGTGCTAATACTGCCAATAAAAACTTTGTAATCTGTAGCGGGTTGCTACGCTAATAAGCCTTGAGTTATGCTCAGAAATCTCTAGGTGGTGCACCCTGGGCAACGTATACTCATACGGCAAACAAGTCTATTTACCGGCAGTTGACTTCAAACTACCATGACACCGCTGTATGTCACATTTGATTACTTTCACATTACTCGCCTCACCTTTTTTGTACCTTTGTGTCAGTCTCTTTTACATCTTTGAAACAATCTTCTTCTCCACCCCTCCCTCTCGACTTTTTCACTCTGATGTTCCTTCCCTCTGTGGAGCCTGAACCCCACTAAAGGGCTAATGATAACTATCAAAAC